TTTCGATTTTAATTTATTTTTCTTTGAATGCGATTTTAAATTTTCTGGTTCTTTTATCTTTATAAATTTGCCATTGCAATCCTGTTGATGTTTGTTCCACCAGAAATCTGATGGACCAGGTGCACGATTCATACTACGTCGAACTGTACCAAAGAAGGGTGGTTTATGTTGGCAAGGTCCATTGCATTTCCACCAATGCTGTTGGTACAACTTTACTTCATTATGAAATTCGTGAAAAATCTGTAATTCAATATAAAAAAGTTATGATAATATATAAAATAAAAGAAAATACAACAGAGAATAAAATTATTACAAATATACAAACAAGATTAATTTCAAATATTTGAATTCTTTTTAAAATCTATTTGACTGAAATCCTATTTAATTGACATTTAAACAAATTTATTTTCAATCGAAACAATAATAAGAATATTAAGTCGGCTCCTTAATTTTTAAAACACGATCTACACTCCATTCCTCTCAGCCAATAGAGCCACACGCGATGTTATTGCGACAAATAAGAAAGAAAAAAAATTTGGAAACTAAGGAATTTGTATCCTATGGTTGGGATCTCAGAAATTCCTCTTGTTCCTCTCCTAATTTCCCCTGTAAAGAAATAGGCGAGAAAAATATTAGTCGGTTCGAAAGTCGGCTGAATCGGAATTCGGACCAATATTTTTCTCGCCTATTTCTTTACAGGGGAAGTTAGGAGAGGAACAAGAGGAATTTCTGAGATCCCAACCATAGGATACAAATTCCTTAGTTTCCAAATTTTCTTTCTTTCTTAACTGTCGCAATAACATCGCGTGTGGCTCTATTGGCTGAGAGGAATGGAGTGTAGATCGTGTTTTAAATTTATTTTCATATAATTGATTCAAAGTTTTTGAGTAAATAACAATATTAAATTGTTATAAATCCTATGAATATATGTGTGAAAATTTTACAATGCAAAATAAAATCTTTTCATTTTTTTTTTACACAATTATTATATGAAGTTATTTATTTAACAGCTCAATTTTATTAAAATTTGAAGTAACTGCAATCGTAATATGGATAATTTTAAAAATTATTCAATTAGGTTTCTCGAGTTTAATTAATGTTTGATTTGTAATAATACCTAACCACGTTTCTTAATATCAAAAATAAATATTAAGATAAATAAGTTATTAACTTACTGTTATATTGGTTCCTGCTTCTCTATTTATTCTGTGCATATGTTCGCAAAAATTTGGTCCATGATCACTTCTATCACGATTATTATTTGTTAAAAATAAATATGCATGAATCATCTCATGCTGCAATTTAATACAATAAAATATCATTAATGTATCTACAAAGTTTCTAAACCTTTTCTAATAATTATATATATTATATATATATATTAATACTTTTATATACATATATATATATTTATTGAAAAATATTTACCAATAAAGTTTCGACAAGATCTTTTCTTGGTCTGAGCTTAAGTAATGGTGCACTGAGCGATATAGTACAATGTTTCATGTGTTTGTTATAACTGCAAATTCCAGCAGAACTATAAATATATATAATCAGACATTACATAAATGCTAATATAATATAAACAATAATCTTTTATATCTAAATATTATGAGATATTTACTTTGTCATTCTGTTACTCCACTTGACTTCGACAGAAGTCAAAATATTCCAAAAGAAGCGTGCATCGAATTGTACAAACAAGTCATGAATACTAGGAGTAGGATCGATATATTCCAATCTATTGTCGACCACTGATTGTGTAGGATAGGTATTCTCCTAGAAATAAAAATTTGTTTTTTATTTAATGTGCAAAAAAAGAAAGGAATATCTAGATTGGTTCTAGAACTAGATATATAATATATTTATAATATATATATATATATATATATATATATATATATAATATATATAATTTACTTCTTACACAGTATAGTTCAACTACATTGTTGACCTTAGATTCTTTAAAGTAAATTTGTGTAGCACTTTTTCATAAAATTTATATTTATTTTTTGCATTATGTGTATCTATAATATATATCTATACATGCTTATATTGCTATATATCAACAATAACAAATTTTCTAATCTTTAAAAAGATTCCTTTTAATGACAAAGAAAGGATTTTAATCATCTTAGTACACTATAAAATATGTATATGTAAAATCTGAAATTGCGTAGAATACCATTTTTTCATAAAATTTATAATATCCATTTTTTTCATTATATGTATCTATAATATATATCTATACATGCTTATATCGCTATATATCAACAGTAACAAATTTTCTAATCTTTAAAAAAATTCCTTTTAAAAAAAAACAACGATTTTAGTCATCTTAGCATGCTATAAAACATGTATATACATAAAATCTGAAATTGGTGAAAAAGTGGATATTCTATATATTTATTTCAATTTATACACAAAAAAAATAAAAATATACATAAAATAAAAAAATATTTATAAGAGTTTAAGAACGAACTTTCGATACATTTACGTAATAAAAACTACATCCACGATCAAAAAAATTGTTTAGTGGTAAATACCTTTTCCAGATCAATTGTATTTTCTGGTACGCCTAAACAATTGAGTTTTTGGGGCATTTTGCCATGGGCATAAGTCATGGGTTTTCGTAAATTATTCATTGTTTTCTTTCGCAGCCTTTGTTCTGTTTATTTTCACGCGAGAAAAACTGATATTTTCTCCTTCTCTCTCTCTCTCGGTCTTTTCCTTCGACGTTCAACGTTATTTACTGAAATATCTCACGTATCTCGTACACACAAAGTGAAAATAAATACAGAAATATTTCTACGTATTCTATAAGATCTTTCACACATTCGCACGATACAAATTACATACATTTACAATTCCGATGATAATTTTTCGGAGTCTCGAAACGATAATTCACGATAGTCGAGTAAGGAGCACAGCTCACACGAATATGGAAGGACCGACAGAAAAGAAGGAATGTGTATGTGTGTAAGAAAGTAGATGGGAGACTGGAGGTGAAATACTAGTGTGTTCCGCTTTCCGATTTTCGATGCGTACTTCCGGATTTTTCGCGCATGCGCTCCAGAAATATCGAGAAAAAAATGCACATTCCATGATGTAATAAGACTAGTCCTATTACATCATGATTCCAACTTTTATTTTTATCCCATTTTTAAAAATTGTTTTATTTCTTTTTTACAATACTTGTAATAATCATATTTTATATTTACATTTAATTTTACATTTTTACATTTACATTTTTATATTTAGATTTTTACAATACTTGTATAATAATCATATTTTATATTTACATTTAATTTTACATTTTTACGTTTACATTTTTATATTTAGATTATTACAATACTTGTAATAATCATATTTTATATTTACATTTAATTTTACATTTTTACATTTACATTTTTATATTTAGATTTTTACAATACTTGTAATAATTATATTTTATATTTACATTTAATTTTAGATTTTTATATTTAGATATTTACATCAAGTTAGCGTTCTTTGACACGTGTCCTTTGACACGTGTAGACGTGTTTCTCTCGTTTAATATATACGGATAAAATATAAATATTAATTATTACCAGCTGATAAGAGAGGGGGAGCGAAAGTCGTACTTGCAAAAGATTTTTATATTGTATATTTATTATTTTTCCATTTTTTCGTGTTTAAAAAGAGATGACATTTGATTGATATTTTTGGCTGCGTTCCAAAATGTCCTCTTCGAGAAAATTATAAAATTTTCCTCGAAGAGCACGTTTTGGAACACAACCTTAGAAAAGATGGAGAAAAGAATAAGTGTAGGAAGTGTAGGATAATAGAAAAAAGTGCTGTACTTTTCACACGTGATTGCCGGTGTGATTTGAATAATTCTAAAATGTGTATATTAATATAAATAATTTAATACTGATAAATATTGAAGTAATATCGTGCAATAAAATTCTCAAAGGGAAATATTTCCTATAAGAAATATAAAATCCAAATCCCTTAATATTATTGCAAAGTGAGGTTATAAAATTATCGAGTGTGATTGTTGCTGGAATTATAAGATTTATTGTTATCATAATTATTATGTGATAAAACACAAAAGCAATTATGGTACGATATTTTCTTAAATTTTCGTATATTGGTACACAATACAGGTATCTTATAACGCATTCATGTTTAGTATAATCTTATATGAGCAACAATATATATATATATACAGAATGGGATAATAAATAGTTCATTAGTTAAAAGTTAAAAAAAGTTAAAAAATTAATCATATTTGACTTAGCTTAGTTAATTTAAAATGTATTAATTTTTAACTTTAACTAGTTATTTTTGATGTTAAACTTATTAACTTTTTTCTAAGTTAAATTTTTTATCTTTGTATATCGTTATATTGTATTTTTATAAATTATGAACATATTATTTTTAAGTTAAAGTATTATTAATATTTATGTTCATTTGTCATCAATTGTAATTAATAAAAAATATATTTCTATATCAAAATCGAAATTTCTTTGTTATTTGTTATTATAAATTTTAAAAGAATTAACAAACAAATTCTAATTTAATATAAATGTTTTTAAAAATTAACTTTTGATTTAACTTCAGTTAATTTAATCTTAATTTAACTTTAATTGAATTAATTTTTTGTTCATGCAATTTTAACTAAATTAATTTTATAAACAACTATCTACTGTAATTTAACTTAATTTAAAAAAATTATTAACTTACCCAATTCTGTATATATACGATAGTTTTATCAACGTAACATAATAATGTTTTCCTAAAAGGGGTTTGCAGAAACAAGTTGGCAAAAATTTTATACGAGACACAGATTCTGTTCAAGGTGCTTTAGAAACTGCTTTGTCAACCATTGTACCAAAGGTCCTGGTTCAAAAATCCATATGTCTTTCCAGCAGGTAATTTTTTAAAATTTTTATATTACCTCTGTTCTCAATTTTTTATATAATCTCTGCAATCTACAGTATTTATATAATACAATTAAATTTGCTAATAATTTGCATATTAAAAATTATAAGTATGCGCAGTTTTATTGCATATAAATTATTCTGTTGAAACTACTTCTTTTTGAACAAAAATGTATATGGCTAATTGATTTAATTATTGTTATGATTATTTTATTTTGTATCTGTATTTCTTATCAAACTCTCAAATATATTTTCATAGAACAGATGCTGGAGTTCATGCTTTATGTAACTCATGCCATGTAGAACTTGACAACAAATATGGTCGAATATATGATACATCAAAAATAAAAAAATATGTCAATCGTTATTTTGCCAAATGTGGTCATACCATCAGGTAACAATTCTTAGATTTTATTGTAATATTTCACTCATTTGTGAATACATATATTTATTTATAAAAATTCTTTTTATAGATTGCTAGATTGTATACCTGTCACATATGATTTTCACTCAAGATACTCGTGTAAATCTCGAACATATATATACAGATTTATGATACCTAAAATACAGGAGGAGCAACGAATATCCCTTGTGGAAATGAATCATACTTTTCATTTAAGGTATGTTATATGAAAAAAATGAAAATTAATATACTTTGTTATGTTTGTGTTTTTTCAGAGCGTACAATTTCGATATAGATAGAGCGAGACGTGGTATACAATTGTTTATGGGAACAAAGGATTTTACTACATTTAGTGCAAAAGATGAAAAAACCCAAAAGCGTTATGTACGTTCCTTGCAGTCTTTCACTTTGGAAGAGGCGCAGCCTTTAATGCCATTTGATCCACTATCCAAAAATTTTACATACTGGCATTTTGTATGCAGCGGAAGATCTTTCTTGTACAATCAGGTATTATATTTTATTTATAAACATATGTTATTCATAATTACGTTTGAAAAAAAAAAAACAATTATAAATGTTATTCTCTATATGTGCAGATCAGACGAATGGTTGGTGCTTTATTTGCATTAGGATTAGGGAAAATAACAGAGAAAGATATTACTGTGATGTTGCAAGTTCCTTCTCATCATAATTGGAATCCTCGTGTTACGCCTGCACCACCAAATGGCTTACATCTATTGAATGTGGAATACGATCCGGATGAATTAAAACGTTGTACCATAATAGAAGAACAAGAAGAGAAATTGCAGTTGGAAGAACAAGAACAGGAACTGCAATTGGAAGAGCAAAGACAAACACTGCAATTGAAAAAATAAAAAAAAAAAAAATTGTTTGAGATACCATTAGAATATTGTAATAATTGAAAAATATTATTTTATTTTATATAGTGGACGATAGTAAATAAGAGATCTTCTTAACAAACTATATCGTGTTTGACATTGTTTCTAATGCAAATATATCTGAAAAATAAATTATTATTAACAAATCTTTGCACGATGGATTTACGAGATCTTATCGCAAGGAAGAAATCATCGTTAAAATCGTGTAAAACTGTGATAACAGATCCGCTTGGTAACAAGTACGAAGTTGAACGTGGCCAAGTGACCAAAAAATTGGAGAAAAGCCTGCCATTCGTAGTGGACGAAAGACCAGACTTGCAGGTCGCCTGTATAATACCAGGTTTATATCTTAGCTCTCAAGATCCAGTGGTTTACAAAGATATATTGGATAAATACGAAATACGGCATATTTTAAGCATAGGCGTTAACATTTCCGAGAGATTCGACGATATTCGGTATTACACCTGTGACTTGTTAGACTTGCCCGAATCGAATATAACATCGTTGTTAAAAAAATGCGTCGATATCATAAACGCGACTCGTAAAGAAAATATCCTTGTGCATTGTAACGCTGGTGTTTCTCGCTCTCCTGCTATTATCATCGCTTACTTAATAATTCATACAAAATTGTCATATAACGAAGCTTACAATAAAGTGAAAGAAGCGAGAAATTGCATTAGGCCTAACGATGGATTCGTGAAACAATTACGTAATATTGAAAATACAACCTTTGCCGATGAGTTGTAATCGATGAGTATCCTAGTACATCTATACTAAAGACAACTTACATTAATATCTATATAATATATATTGTGAACATATATTACACGTTATATTATGTGAAATATATCGATGGTGATAAAATATTTATTAAATATTTTAAAAATGTTTACACACATTAATATAAATGTAAGTCCTGTCTCGTTATGTATTTCACATAATATGGTGTATAATGTATGCAATTTTAGGAGTAAAGATCACAAAGAGACAGAAAGATATACTGTACATATAAGAAATAGATAAATGGATCAATGAATGTAGAATATATTGTTACAATAGAGAATTCATGTGTTATAACATTATTTACTTAAGTGTACAGAGAATAATGTTTAATATGTATAATTACAATATATTTTATAACTCATTAGAAAATTAGAGTCATGCACAGCATCTATCAAATTCTTAGCCAAAATTAAGCATATTAAAATTTTTACTAATTCTGGCTTTTTCCTTATATTTACCATGCATTGGAGATGACACATAGGTCGCCGTACCAAGTAGATTTATAAAAATTACTGTAAATCTAAAAAATATAAGTGAATTTCTGTATACATGATAATCCTATTATTTCATTCATAATAGTAGTGTATCATTGTACCCGTGGTACCTATATTACGTCTCTTTCTCTTCTATTACATATTATATAGAATAATTATTATCAGTATCCATATATACGTGTTTACATGTGATGTGTATATATACAGGCTGTCCCAGAATCACCAGATGATACTTTAGAGACAGATTAACCAATCTAGAATAATTTAATAAAAAAATAGCGAGAATTAAATTACCGTTGAACCGATAAACAATTTAATAAAAGATTCATCAATAGTTTCAAAATTACAAACTAGTGAAAACAAAGACTTTTTACAAGTAAAACTTCAGAGGTATAAAATGACATAAAAAGATTTTAATTTACGAAATTTGATTATATGTAATATTAAAATTGTGATAAATATTAGTTTTAGATAGTTTCGCTATGTGAAAGAATAAATTTGAAATTCCTGAATAAATCTATTCCGAGAGTATCTTCCAGTGATTTTCAGATATCCCGGATAAACGCAATATATATAAATATACCTATAAATATATATATTGCATTTATGTATAATTATATGTATAATCTAGTATTCACATTCCTCCAACAATTGAAATGAGCTGTCTCGAAGAAAATAGACAAGGCACTTGAACTGAATATCCTTTTCTTAGCTAGTTGGCCTCATAAATAGTAGAATGCAAAGGACTTGCACATCAAACGGTAGAATGTAGGACAAATAAATAAAGCCGGCTATCGAAAGGAATTCGTGTATCGTTCGCTATTCGTAACATCCAAAAATTTGACCATTCTCTGCAACGATGCCGATTTCACTGTATAATGTATAATGTATAATATAATGTCTCAAATAGTCTTGAGCGGCGCGCGCGGGATCAAGGCCTTTTAAATACCGTGTTCCTTGAATATACAACATTATGTGATTGCTTGTAAGGCAATTAAAAAGTAGCATAGGTTCCAGTTTGCATTTTGTGATGCTAAAGATATAAGAAAATGATCTCTCTACTTATATACTGGAAAGTTGCAAAACGCATAACAAATGGCATAAAATACATTTTCCTGTCTCTACGGAACTTGAAAGTTTACTCGCAGAAATGACATCAATGTTTCTCAATCTCCGATTGTATAAATCTATTATTTCTCGATATTATCAACCATTGATGAGAGTTCTCGTTTATGTCACATCCAAAATCTCAGAGACGAGTGAAAAGAGTTTTATAGTAATGTGATAAAAAATTGCGCGAGTTGCTAAGGAATAGCTTTTCCTTTGAAAGCCTCTAACACGTTTTTTCCCTTTTTGATTCGCAAAGATTTTACGATATAAATTTTACAATAATTGTGTGATGTAGTTTAGAAGTCACTTGATTCCAGTGGCATAAAATAACGAGAAAAATGCGCGATATATATGTACAAAAAATATAAATAAATTAACAAATTATTATGCTAAGTCCAACGAAAAACGTATACGACTTTCTGCAGTCTACACGCAATACAGAGATTATTATGTATCTGTGAAAGTAGTATAATATACACGAATATAAATTGGCTCAATTCTGCAGAAAGAGACTGAAGCGTACAAAAAAAATTATCCTTTATCATAGAATACAAACCATACACAGAGAGTTTATGGTCAATTTGTATTCTAAGATAGAGAACATTGTTGCGAAACATGATTAAAGAGTGTTGTACTTTGCAATTTTTGCTTGGACTTGGTCTCTTTTTTACAGAATGCCGATCCGATCATTTCCCACGAAGCCACAGTCTTAAGTACAACATATCTGTACCTGAAAGGCATATCACTAGAAATAAAAGCCACGAAATTAAATCGTACACACGATCGTGTGCCATATCGTCTGATTGAAACGAGCGATTGAAACTCAGGATAACATGCGTTACAGTTACAGATACATAGAACATCGGTATTAATGAATTGTAAATATAAACATCGTCGTCGAACGCGTTGTGTGTAGTAAACCAGTGTCAGAGTCCAATAGAATGGCCAGGTCGTATGCAGCAACGTCAGTAATGGAACAGGGAACCACCCAACACAAGTGCACATATGCGTGTTATATGATGTGATGTGTCTGTGTATACATGCGTTATGTGTGTGTATGTGTGTACATGCATATGCTTATATGTATTTTATATGTGTGTTTTTACATATTGTTTGTTAGAGGAAAGTTACATCGTTACTTACACGTTCCATCCTTTTTTTAAATTTTTTTTCTTTGTTTATCAGATATCTTTAGATTCTATATGTTTTTTAACGTTTAATTCCCCAGGGACCGTCTGGGGTTGCAACGGGCACGTGGGAGTAACCAGCGAACTGCGGAAATTCTTCCACGCTGGCTGTATTCGGCGCGCTTTGAGGCTGCTGCTGTTGCTGCTGCTGCTCCCAGGGTCCTCCCTTCACGATGAAGCCAGTATCGTTTTCGTTGCCGCCGGCATTACCATCGTCGCGTTGAGGCGAACGCAAACTCTCACGATATTCGTTCTCTATCACATCTTGCATCTGTCATATAAAAGGATTTGTTAGATTGTGACGTCAGAGGCGAGAAGGCACACGCTAAAATTCTTGCCATTTTTAAATGAAAAGATATTTCAATGAAACACTATTTTAGATGGTTTTAGTACACTTTTAAAATATATCGAAGTGCTGTTTCATCGAAATATTTTTTTTATTTCGAAATAGCGTCTAAGAATTTTTAACATGTATTTTCTCGGCTCTGACATCACAATTATAACATAGTCAACAACGAGTACTTTATATACTTACGTATTCCTCCTCTAGATTTAGCAAACGATCCCTCGCATCGGCTACATTCTCTTCCGCTCCTACGATCGTCACGATATTAGGATCAGCATCAGTCTTTCTCGGGAACTTTATGTCGACTTTATATTCGTCCATTATTTTACGGATGTTTCTGCCCTTCGCACCGATTAAACGCGAGTGAACAGCAGCATTTATCTGTACTTCTTCTTTCGTCAGACCGTTCTAAAGTGATACAAGGGAAGAAAAGTAAGCCGTAATGCAAAAGTATAGTGAAAGCTATTAAATATATATTTTTATATAATTATAAATATTTTTCTGTAATAATTAAATTCTGTATAATTAAATATATATATATATATATATATATATATATATTTAATTATAAATATTTTTCTAATAAAGTATTCCCATCGTAATAAAAGAGTTGTAACTCACCAGTTCGTTGACAATCTTCATGATATCATCCCGGGCACTGTACGCATTCTTTTCGTATCCAGTTATAGTGATAATATGCTCCTCGGGATCACCCTTGCGCGGGAAGTTAATTTGAACGTCGTGATCGCTACGTATTTTACTGATGACTGCTCCTTTTCGACCGATTATTTTTGGATGATATTCTGGATCAACTTCGAGCTGTATATTGAATAATACGTGATATATCTCACATATAACGAAATTTTTATGTCGATTTCTTTTTAGAAAATAATTAATTAAACTATTTCTTTTTCAGAATTAAATTTTAGAGTATCGAAAGATCCGTCATATCAAAGAACTTACCTTCAATTCAAAGGATTTTAATGCTCGATCTTCTCGTTCTGCCTTCAACGTCTCGCATTTTTCCAGAATAGCTTCCTTGGCACTTATAACACACGACGGCGTTCCAGAGATCTAAACAATCAATGAGAAATGAGTAAATGAGTACATACGAACGAAATATTTCTCGTAAATCTCTTGAATGAAGCAAATTACCTTGATGTAATCCAGTTTTTCTTCTGCCGGGGAGAGCATAATGTGCACATCGTACGTATTCATTAATTCCCGCACGTCTTTACCTTTCTGCCCAATTATGGAGCGATGAAAATCGAACGGTACGTCTACCTAAAAATGCAGAAAAAATTACTCAAAACTGTTTTTTTTTTTAATGTGTAGAATAATCCGGTTGAGAATATGAACTAACTTGAATCGTAATAGGCACGAGATCGAGTAAAGCTTGCTTAGCGGCAACAACGTTCTCTGGTTGTCCAGTAATGCGAATTATATCGCACGGTAGAACCATCTCTCCGGCTTCTCCGTTCTCGCCGTTAATTTGCTCCGGCATTTTCTGTTCTTCTGGAACGATCAAATTTTGCACACAATCAATATTTCAATTTGCACAATTTTTCACATAAAATATTTTTTAAAATGTTCCGCATGTGTGTTTATTTTTTATTTTAATTTATTTTATCTTTAAAAATATTTAGCCTGATATCGCAAAATTCATAATTTCATAAAAAATGAATCATTTCATTAATCATCGTCAAACTCAATACCAATCTTTAATGATTATCTATTCATGTAAAAAAATTATCCCGATATTTTGAAAAAAATGTATCTTTTATAAAGAAGCAAAATTATACATAAATAATGAGAAAATTGTTGATACTAACCATAGACATCACGATCGGGGAATTTGATTTGTACGTCGTATTCGGACGTTATATTTTGCACCTTGCGACCCTTGGCACCCATGACTGTACGATGATGCTTTTGCGGTATTACGCATTCCACCGTTATCATAGATTCCTAAAGTAAGAGAGGACAGAGCAATAAGTAAATTAATTCAATTACGTTAAAAGTTGAGTTAAGATTAAATTAACTTAAGTTGAAACAAAAGTTAATTTTAAAAAATATTATTTATATATTAAATAAAAACTTAAACTTAACTTTAAAATTTTGAAATTTTATTTAATTTTTAAAAATTTATTTAAATAACAAATAACAAAACAAAAATTTTTAATTTTTATTATATAGGATGAATGTATTTTTTTCTTTGTAATTAATTATAAAAATTAATAATAATTCTATTTATTTCATAATACTTGTAAGAATGACATACTACATCATAGAATGTTCTTATTAATCGCTATTAAAAATTTAATTATTCAATGTTTAAGATTTCATTAAAAAAATGGTATTCAGGAGATAAATAAAATTTTTAACGTAGGAAAAAAATTAACAAGTTTAAAAATAAATAGTTTAAGTTAAAAATTAATTTATTTTAAATTAACTAAGTTAAATCAAGTTATTAATTTTTTTAACTTTTAACTATAATTAACTACCTAAGTTACTATCCAATCTTGATAATGCACTTACCAACTCCTGAACGATTTCTCGCATACGTTGCTTCGCGGCTTCTATGCATTCGTGCGAACCTTTCAGGATAACGCGATCGCTGTCGACGCCAGCTCGCGGAAAGGATATCTGTACGCCGCCGCATTCGTCGGCGATTCGATGCAAAACGCCGCCTCTTCGTGCCACGAAATGTCTATGATGTTTAGGATCAATACGAATTTCACCCTCAATAATATTGTCCTGTAAGAAGGATTTTAAAGATAATTACACCGATCATTCATGTATAAGGATTACTCGAAAGTAACAATTGTTGCATACAATTTCCTTAATCGTGGCTTCCAACTCGGCTTTAGCTTTTTCTACTGCTTCCTTCTTGCCCATAATTGTAATGACTTCTTTATCTTGATCTTCGTCTGTCGGGAATATAATTCGGGCTCCCGTGGATTCTCTTATCTATAAAAAAAGGGAGATTATGTAGATATTTTTTAATGCTTTCTGGAATTATGATATTATAATTTTGTCTTTATGCAATTTACCTTCTTGATGTTAGCACCATTCTTTCCAATGAGGAATTTATGATGTTGAACTTTGGCACGAACTTCAGCCGAAAAACTAGATAATTGCTTCTCATTGCTTAGTTCTAAGAGTTGTGCTTTCGCTTTCTCCACATCGTCCTTTGGACCTCTGATACTGACCTGTGTATTTTATATTTATCAATAAAAACTTTAATTGACCAAAAAATGATGTCAATTTTTTTTTTTTTTCTCTTTTACCTTATCACTTTTACTTTCTGCTGTAGGAAATTTGATTGTAACACCTCCGCAATCTTCCATAATAGAATGTATTAGTTTACCTCCAGTACCAATGAGAGAATTGTAAAACTTTGGTGGAATAGTGATCTCCTCGGTAACAATATTAGCCTAAAATAATAAATATTTGATATGTATAAACAATTTTCTCTCGTTATTCTGACATTTTTATATACAGGGTAAATATAACACATTATTGACACTTACCAATTCATTTTGAATTTTTTGTATCATTTCCTTAGCCTTCTCCACATTTTCTTTCTTTCCAGTAATAGTTATAACATCACTTTTCTCACCTTCAGCAGGTAAATCGATTTTTGTTTGTGTTTCTTCCCTGATCTATATCATATAATTTATAGATAAAAAAATAGATACAAGTCTAACAAGCAAATTATAAACAATAAAGCAATCTGATACAAAACCTTGCGAATATTAACGCCGCCTTTTCCGATGACAAACTTGTGAAATTGTTTAAAAATAGGTACTTCCAATACATGATTACTTTCATTTAATTCTTTCACTAGTTTCATTAGGTGTTTATGGCACTTATCAACGTCTTCTTTGGGTCCTCTAATCTTCACTATATCTCCCTTTTCACCTGAAAAGTAAATTATTTGACTTTATCTCTAAAAATTATTTTCATCATATTAAAATGATGCAAATGTTTGTAGCATTATAAAATAAGTAAAACAATGAAACTACACATATAATATTATTTACCTGGTCCAGGTATAGTAATTTGTACTTGATTGAATTTATCTCTAATTTCTTTGATATTATCTCCTTTGTTGCCGATTATGTTACGATAATATCTGTGATCTATAATCACATCCTTTTCTTTCTCATTCTCTAACTTTTTCACCATTTCTACAAGTTCCTAAAAAATTATTCATTATTATAAAACAAACGTTAATATTTCTATCTATTTAATAATTATTACTACTTAATGATGTAAATACATACTGTTTGAGCTTTTAATACACCAGCAAGATTGCCTTCAATACGAATAACATTACTGCCATCATTTTCAGAAATACTAATTACAACACCTGTTCCTTCTTTAACACGGTTCACTAGTAAAAAAGAAGGAAATTTGTAATGTAAATTTGAGTATTTTCTTTGATATCATAGGCAAAGATTATGTAGATAAAATTAGCTTACCATTGCAACCGTTTTTTCCAATGATATGTTTGTAAAATCTAGGATCAACATTCAGTTCTGCGAAAGTGAGTTTAGCAATAAGATCGTTAGCCATGAGCTGTAGCTCATTTTGCGCTTTCTCAACTTCCTCTGGTGGACCTTCTATCTTAATTTTATCTTCCTTTCCTGTGAACTCCACGTTCACTTTTGGCATTTCTTGAGTAATTTTCTTGATATTTACACCTTTGCGTCCAATGATGTATTTATGTATCCAAACTGGAGCTTCCACAACAGCAGTGCGAACACTATTTGCTTTTTCATACACCTTGTTAAGTGCTACAAACATGTGATACATGTATTACATGTTAAATGTAACAAATACTTGAATATATTACTTATAAAAAACTAAAATTAGTATTAATATATCCAACTTTCAGATTTCTTACCCTGACCAAGTTTCTCTTGGGGTCCTCTAAGAGTTATGGTACCAGTTGCAGAGTCAGGTGCAGGCATCTCTACACTTACTCCAGTTGTTTGTAATATCTCTGCTATGGTACTGCCACGAGGTCCAATTACATATTTATGTTGAGACTTGGGAACTTCTACAGATACCGTAGTACATCTTTTCTCCTATATTCGAAATTTACAAATTAGATATGCTGCAAAATGTTATAAAAACATTGGATAAAATAATTTTTTCAGCTTACCATATCTTTGTAGATACTTTCAATCTTTTGCTTAGCAGCTAAAACTCCTTCCTTCTCGCCAGCTATGGTTATTTCATCCTGCTGCACTGATGCAGGAGGAATATTGATACGAGCACTAGTTTCTGCCATCATGGCATTGAGATTTTCATTATGCGCACCATATATGAATGGGTGGTATATTTTTGGCACAGTTATCCTTTCGAAAGCTTTCCTAGACTGTAACATTTAAAATAAAATAGCTGAATTAATGATGTATAATTTCAATATATTATATGTGTAGGATATTTGTGTCTATCTAGTAATTTTTTTATCATTATTATAAGAATTACCTGTTCATCAGAGATAACTCTAATTTCATGTTCAGCCTTTTCAATCCCTTCCTTTGTCCCTGTAATTGTTATTATGTCTGACTGATCTTGCACACCAGGGACATTAATTTTTGTAGCAGTTTTTGTTCCAAATCTTTCAATCTCTGTCCTTGCTTTCCAAGAATCCAACGATGATGATCCTTAGGAATACTAATCTGCTTGCTTGCCTATAAAAATTAATTGGAAGTTGCAACATATATTTATTAAATATATCTATAAAGTACAGTACAGTAACATTAAAGTAACATTATACCTGAGTTTGAAATGTTGTTAAAATGCGCCTTTTGGCTTCTAGAACTTGATTTTGCTTCCCAGTTATAAGAAACGTTAGAGACTGATCTTTAGATGATGCAATTTCAATAATAGTATTTGTTTCTTTCATAATAGTTTTACATGTACGGATAGATTCACGTTCGCCAAATTTATCACTATGATCAAATTTGCGCTCTTCCCCTGGTACACGGAACATCTAAAAAAAATTAAAAATTAGAGAAAAAAGAATCTTTAAAAAATATTTCAATGCAATTAAGTAAATTTCCAGGAAGAAAAATTTATCTGTAATATAACAGTTAGTTTTCAGTATTACAACTCAGTGGAAAAATGTAAAATATAAAGTCAAATAATTATACAGATTTTGTTCAATTTTTTAACTGTGAGTTTTAGTCTATATTCACATGTACAAAGAGTCATTGTAATAGTTAGCCAAAAATTATCTGTATGTACAGAGATATTGAATTATCAAGTCGTTAAGCAAACCTCAATAGTATCTTAATTAGCAATTTGCAATAATTTGCACAAGTGTTTCACAATTTCTACAATGTGATAAATGACTTTATGCACGAAAAATATGATTTATATTTACCCAAAGAGATTGAATATCTTAAAAATTTATATAAAATTTTATATAAAATATTTTTAATATTTCTAAAGCTAAATTTGAATATTCCTTTTCTAACAAATCTAAATATATTTCACAATTATTGAATCAAAGTAAAAATAATTATCCATCAATATAAACATACAACAATTTTATGAGTTTCTACCTGTGTAATAGTTATACGCCCAAGCTGTAAATTGTTGTTTATAGAAAATATGTTTAACTGTCCAGAGTTGGAACTTGATGATTCGGGAAGGACAGGGAATGTTTCATCGTAAGTAGGTGGCTCGTAGGCCGTTCCCTCTTCCATTACTGACTGCTGCTGCATTTTGGGGTTGTCCTGTTTCGTGCCAAGTCCTTACAGTAGCACTGCAATGCAGAGAAAAGTATTCTATATTATTGTCAAAATTTTTATAATACATATAACGATATATACATAATAATATAGAATATATATATATATAATAGTTAATAAAAGATTATTATATAAAAATAACAATGAGAGATCAATGTAAATATAACAAAACTCATTGTATAAAATTATATATATTTTTTATTATACATATATATGTTATAAAAAATTTTATAGGAGACACAAGAGAGAGAATGTTACATTGCGAAAGAAAAAATGAAATTATAATACGAGAAGGAAAGATTGACATAAAGTGAAGTTAATTTAAGTTAGTATATCAATTAAAATATACCATTAGTATACCATATGTTTCTCACGTGACATTTCATTAAGTCTTAATATCGCGACGAATGGAAAGATAAATTCAATAATCACTGCGGCAAATTACGTTGGATAGAAAGAGAGGGAGAGTTCGCGAGAGAAAGAGAGAGATAGACTACTCATATTAAAGATAAATTTCCTTCTGCATTGTATAATCTGAAATAATCGCGAGGAATCGTCCCCGAATACTTTCGCGGAAATCGATTCTAATTCGGCTATTCGAATTTTCGCAGCGAAGTATCCGTATATTTCTCTTCTCGCACTCAAATTCGTGACGATACGCGAAAATTCTTTCGGGACGGTCTCTCGACTCTGCGAAAATTCGATACACCTCCGCTTTAGCGCGAAGCGCTCTCGAGGCATTTTTTTCTTTTTCTTATTCAAAGCTGGCTAGAATCTTGCAAAGGGATATTAAATCGCGACTCCGAACAGGCGTACAAGGAAACATGTCAATGACCAGTAGCCGAGCGACCACCACCATATGGAATGGAGCGTTAACTTGACACGTCACGAGATCGCTAACCTCTCTCTTACGTCGAGGTCCCAGCATTTGCACGTCGGGACGAGGAGAAAAGGTCAAGCGACGTGAAAAAGCCTAGGAAAAAGGAACGAGAAAATCATGTTGCATGGAGGAAAGCGGAAGGTCTTCTTTCTCGACACGAGGTCGAGAGAGACGTCATAGGGGGAGATTTTTTTTTTCGAGAGAAATTTTTGCTACTTACTCTACCGTAATAAAGAAATCCGGCCAAGTAATAACCGCGTATTACGTAGCCAGTTTAACGGTGATTTGCCTGAAACAAGTAGAACGTCGATTACGAGGTGCGGGCAACGTACTACGGAATACCACGAGATCTAATCAAATTAAACGTGGAAGCGAATTATCGCCCCATTATACTCGGAGAGAGAATCCGCGACTTTCCTTACCGGTAACGCAAAGTGAAATGAGACGGGACGACTGAAAAGTTACCGCAGCCGGGGATAAGTATGATACAGTTGGGGCTCGCGTGATCGTTTTGGGTCTGTCGACGAATCTGCTATCCGATTGGTTGGATATTGGAAGGAACTTCTAGAGATTTTTCTTTACGAACGAATTTGGAAATTTCGCGTTGGGTAAAGAATAATTCAATTGACCAATCAGGAGAAAGAAATTTTTGATCCATCTTTCTGATTGGTCAATCTATATTTTCGCATTATCTATATTTATTGGAGAATTTATATTATTTAAATATCATAATTATTTAGAAATTTATTAGAGACCTTTTAATTAGATATATCTTTATAAAAAGATTTTTATAAAAATATAGATTTATATATATATATATATAGAGTTCTGATTGATATATTACTATATAATTATAATATTTAAAATGAGTCTGGTATTTTTTTTAAAAATCTTTTATAAAGAAAAGATAAAAATATATTTTTAAAGAATTTTTATAAAAAATACCAGACTTATTTTAAACATTATAAATTATTTAATAATTTATTAATCAGAACTCTCTTTTATTTCTATATATCAAATTCTCAGGTACGTGATTAAAAATTTGCAGACTTTCAACATATTTCTCCATCCGAATGAATTTTAACATTCATTCAATGCTCTCGAAATAAAAAAAAGAAACTCGATCTGACGTTTGAAATTTGCGCCACAGCTGATTCCCCGAGACGCTAGTGACTTTTCCCTCGCCGCGTCGGTAAAAGCAACGGCGCCACCCGGCGGGCTCCGCGGCGCACCAACTGTCAAACGCCGCGTGCTCGATGACAGAAGGCGCTGCGGGCGGCCGAACGTCGGAGAGACATCGCCCTAGATAACGGTAGAATCGCGCAGCGTAGTGTCGCGTTGTCTTTTCGCGAGAAGTGTGAAAATCTCGGGTACGACGCGGGGGCACATCGGCGGCGAGACAGGCGAGCAAGAGAGAGAGAGAGAGACAGACAGACAGAGAGAAAAGAGAGTGCGCGAGAGAAAGAAAGAGAGAGGCGCGTCCGTTCGGCCGCCCGCGTTTAACAGCGTCGTCGTCGTCATCATCTCTCGCTCGAGGGAGATCCGCGTTTGTCCTCTCGGTGTGTGAATCGAGTGCGAACGAGACTCCGTTCGGCTACAATCGATCGGGGCAGCCCGTATATAGGTAGAACCGGAGATACCGAGATACATCCGGTAATACATCGGCGACATTTCGTCCAGAAGGATATCTCTTCCTTCCCGGCCAGAGTGTCGAAACGCAACGCCGTACGTTCCGTGCTTCCGTTCGCGGCTGTGAGGGAATAAAAAAAAAAAAGAAATAGTTTGTCCAGAGAGCGAAGGACAAAAAAAAAAAAAAAAAAAAAAAACCCGTACAACGAGGCTCTTCTACACGGCTCTCCCCATGAACTCGTGACAGCGCGGCCCCGACGAAGGAAAGCCGAATCCGAGACGGTGCACCAGAGGTGTAGAGCCGCTATTAATCGACGGAGAATCTCGGTCGACGAGGGAGCGTTGCACGCGAGACGGAGACGACGGAAGAAGAGTGAAAGGGAAGGAGAGCGAGAAAGACGTATACGACGTGCGTGTGTGTGTATGCGCGCTTGAGAGCCGCCGAGCCGACTTGCGCGAGCGACAGAGACAGAGCGACGAAGAGGAGGCAGAGAAGAATTATCGAGTGAATCCACAGGAGAGGATACTGCGTTCCGCGAGCAAAGCGTGGGGTATCCAGGAGACACGAGAGGTAAGGACCCGACTTGTGCGGCTTCTAAAAAAAGATTCTTCTTTCTCCCCTTCTCGTTCTTTTACCAGAGAAAGAGAGAGAGAGAGAAGGCGCCGTGCATCGCCGTGGCGTGGCACGACCGGAAGTCGTCCACGACGGCGAGGAGTCCCCCGTTATCGACTCTTCCTCGTCGCGCACGTGTCCTGGACGCTTTAATTTTTGTATTTATTTTTATTTTTATTTTTATTTATTTATTTATTTTTTTTTTTTTTTTACTAGAATTTATCTGTCATTTTGTGAAAATCACGAACGCGGGCGTTTCTTTTCTCCCTCATTATCTCCGGTTTCGCGATTAATTCTCGACGAGTCCCGCGGTGAGCGAGAAAACGAACGAACGACCGGCTGCTCTTCCTCCCCCTCCCCCTCAACACCCTCTCCCCCCCCCCGTTCCACACCGGCTAACTAGCGTTTCCTCTTACGGTCACGGCCCACCCGAGCCGCTCTCGCGATACGCGACGATAGCGAAGTTTCGCGTGAACATAGTTGCGAGTCGCTCCCGTAAACAATTACGCGAAGTTAGCTGCGATCTTCTTTCAGTTTTCCTTCTTAAAGTTGATTACGCCGGTGGTTAGCGAGAAGAATGTGTAGGATTTTTTTTTTTTTTTCGAAATGAGAGACTTTTTATGGACTGTAGTTGGAATTTTTTTTAGAGAGGAAGAGAAATACAATTTTCTTTTATTTATGAAATTATACAGGGTGTGTCTAAATAAGAGTGAGCAACTTTAGATGATTCTTTGGCGAAAATTAAGGGGGTTTCTTATATAAACGTATACTCTTGTATCCCTTTCTGAGGAATTACATTTTTCTAAAGAGGGAGGTAATAATTAAGTTTTTATTTTTTCCTTAAATTTTAGAATTAAAAGAATGAAACTTGGAGAAATCATCAAGTTTCATTTTTTAAATTTGTCTGTAATTTAAAAAAAAAATATAAAATTTTTACCTACCTCTATAAGAGTATATATTTATATTAGAAATTTCCTTACCTCTTAATTTTTGACAAAGAATTATTTCCTAAAATGTTTTGCATTTATTCAGATACATCCTGTATAAATTCAAAAGTTTACGACGACAAAACGAAATAAATTCCTTATATGCAGGAAAAAAATAGATTGCTCCTATGTGGATTGTTTAAACAGATGCGTGTTCTTTTTCAACCCTCCAATGCTTTTTGTAAAATAAAATGCATTCGAATTTTAATTTAAAGTGCAACGAGATGCGTAAAATGTAGAAGGATGTAAGTAATTAGGGAGATTTTTGATCGAACATAATTAATTCAATTCTTTTCTTTTGCCTAATTTTTTCATTTATTTATATTTTTCCATAATAGAGAGCAGTAGGAAAATTTGTGTTTTCTTGTTAAAAACGGTTCCCGTTAAAATTTTTGTATTAAATATTTAATACGTACATGTGTTAATTGAACTTAAATGTTAAATTATATATATATTAAAACAACTGAAAAAAGATGTAAAAATAACACAATGTGTATCTATTTTTAATTTTACACAATAAATATGTTCTGTTTTATTAGTGACAAGATTTATCTGTTTAAAACAGAAAAACATGTTGCTTTTTTATTTTATAATATAAGTAGGGATATAAAATTTAAAATTGACATAGGTATTTTAATATTAATTTTTACACACATTAAAACTGCTCATTTTACACAAAATTTATTTTGAATTACTTGAAGTTTTGCATTTATTTTGTATTAAAACATTAACACAATATTTATGTTTCCATTTAACATATTCACATTATATTACATTAATATATACAAATTTTTCAACTGTGAGAATCTAAAGTCGATACAAGTTATTTGTCAATCATCGATTTATAAAGTTTTGCCTAATTATTTGCCTTAATTAAAAATTAAGATATTGAGATTTTCAAAGTGATATATTTGCTTCCAGCGTATTAAAGCTTAAAATTACGAGCTTTTTTAAATCTGAATGTTTACATGAATCTCGTTAGTCCGACTAATGCGGCGACGAGAGAAAAGAATGAGAGATTAATCGTTTTAAAGTATCGAATGTGAGAGAAAGAACTTAACACGAGGGAAATTTGAGCCAGTCGGTTGCCTTCTTCACAGCTTGGATTCTTGTGTGTCGAGTGTGACCGCAAAATAGTCTTGAAATATAAAAATACACGCAACGGATGCAGCTGCTAAAATAGACCTAAAAATGTTTTTCTTTTTTCCCAATTCTCAAATTTTTGATTCTCATTTTATTTTTGAAAGTTTAACTCGAATTTTTGCTCAAGCGCACTCGAGAGAAAGATATATGATATTTAAAAGCCTATCGATCCACGAAAACTGGGCGAATTGCGTGTAAAAATATGTTGAAAAAAGGCGTTCCTGATCATTTTTAACCTGTCAATATTATTTAGCAATTTATCGTCCGACGAAAAAAGCAGCTCTTTTGCTGAGATATATATTTTTTAAATAAATAATATAAATCATATATAATATTATAATACATTTTATATATTAAATATACACACACACACACACATATCTGTAAGTATTTAAACTGAAATAAAAATATTTAAATTAAAATCTCTAGATATAATAAAATAAATAATAAAAAGTGAAAATGTAATTTTAAGGTAACAGGAGAAAATAAATGTTTAAGTCGCACTTTTGGTAGCTACGCTGCGTATTTTTATATTTCAAGACAATATATATATATGTTGTGGTTGGTCCCTGTTGGACTCTCAACAAAGATCACACAAAACCACCGTGGCATTCTAATCCGTAGTCGACTCACGTGAGTCACCGCGACGCAGGAAGTGACTCGAGAAGAAAGATGGCAAGAATGTCACTTACTCGACATAATGCTGATCGAGTATGTTCCTACAATGAGAGAGAAAGAGAGAGATTTTATTGGCACGGTTATAAGTAGAAATCTATCTCGAGAGAGAGAGAAAAAGAACGAAAAACAGCGTAAAATTAATTTCTCCATTTTCCATATGAATATTACATATTCAATAGTTTTTACGGCGATCAAACGAAATAAATTCCAATACGCTCTTCGAATATCACGATGTCTCGTAAAATCTGTTTTGCAATTCATAGTGCACGCTCTGAAAAATAATTGTTAACTTGACTAAACCTTTCAACCAAATAATATTTTATTAATCACTGTAAAAAAAATATGTAATATATGTTACGTAAAAATATGTTATATTTTATAAATATTATTTATGTTATTTTATATATTTTTTTGATGTAATTTTATGTATTTTTTTACAGTGTGAAAACTTAAAATATTTAAATTAAATATAACATTAAATCTAACAAAATAGTAATTTAGTTGAAAGGTTAAATTTTTTTCAGTACACTCGCTGATTTTATTTTCTTTTTATTTGTGTGAAAACATCGCGATTTGCAAATAATTTATTATAAATGATATTAAATTTGTATAAATAATATTAAATATTTATAATAAATAAAAATAAACGTTGGGATGTGCATCGTGGTACAGAATTAATATACGACGCAAAACGTTTATTAAAAGGAATTGTATATGTATAGTCATTATGCGGCAGAAAAGAGTTGCTCAACATGCGAATGTCTGAAAACATTCGCTGAAATATTTTAAAGATGCATGAAGACTTTTACGACAAAAAGTTGCAGGAGATACATAAATATACGTCGTACGGTAATAAAATTTTCGCGCGCGGCATTCGACGTCATATATTAATTAATTAAACGAATATATACCGATGCTGGAATGTCATAACAACTATAGAGAGAAAGAGAGAGAGAGAGGGACCAGATACACACACAGTTGCATACGATATCATCGCGTATCGCGTAGTAAAAATGATAAAGCCAGGCATTATTTAAGCGATAACTCTTGGCAACAGGCCACGTTCATCCTTGAAAGCTTTACAAGGAATTTTGCTCGTTCGCTTTGTTTGATCGATGCTCGACTGAATGATTATAAAGATTGATGCCACGCGATTTCGTTTCTCTAATAATAAAGCCTATTTTATAAGTTCTATTTTTTTTTAAATAATATGCCCATTTTATTTAAACGATATATTGACAGCTTATTAAAGGGGTTTTTCTTCGTTCGTCGCGTGATTTATTATTGAAATGTATTGACATAAATGTCATTTCATATCGAATGATCTCTAAAGTCTTTAAAATTTTTGCCAACATAAAAAAATATTTATTTATTTATTACACAGGAAATAATTCCCTTTAGTACACAGTTTAGAAAAATAATCACAGTATAAACAATAAAAGAAATAAAAGATTATATAGTCTAATATATACATTGCATCGACATTTGTGTCCACGTCTGAAACTTGGAGATTTTTTCATATATTTTTTAAAATAAAAATGAAGTTTTATTTATTATGCTCGCACGAGAAACCTTCCTTCGATAAACCAAGGTTTCCAGCTGCGTCACATTCTGATTCCGCATCCGCTTGTTTCACACTCTTACAACGCTCGTCATTTCCGCTAATCTTCTGGAAACTCGTTAAGCCTATTCAATTTACTGTAATCGCCCGTTCGCTCGTGACAATTTGATTTTCGTCGAGCGAGATTTTACACGTGAACTGGTACATTGGATCCCCGGAATTAATGCATCGTCAATGAATGGATTATATATACTCGGAAAAAATAGTTATCTCGCTCTCGCGCGCGTTTAAAAAAATGAGAAAATTATTATAGAATTTTTTTATAACCACATCTCTCCTCGCAATTTTTCCCGTCCTCTAGCTAAGGATTACGCACTTACGGGGTATTGTTTGTCCTGGGATGTATACCGTTCCGTGGCAAATCTTCCCATTGATAAATGCGAAGCCAAGCAAGCAACTACGAGGCAAACTACGTTATATTCGCGGCTACAAACGATCGTGCTTGTTAAACACGTTATACGTTATAGGAGTGACTCAACTGTGAGAAACGATACTCCACTCGACTTTGAACTCGATAATGCCGTCGACTT